TTTTTGTTTTTGCAGAAATGACTAATTTAACTAGTGAAACAAACACTTGTCGCTGCCATTAAAAAAAAAAACCAATCTTGAGCCTTCTCTGCTGTAAAAACTAAGCTGTAAATTCACAAGGTGGTGCCCTGGAGCCTGGAGAAACACTGTATTTTCTTCCTCCTTTTTCCATAATGTTCATTCCTAATTGGTTCTGGTGTGTGTGCGTGTGTGTGTGTGTGTGTGTGTGTGTGTGTGTGTTGATTGCATTTGGATGTGTATATGTGTTTGAAATCACATGGCACATGGCATTGTAGTTTGCAAATGGGGAACAAGACAAGGAGGGCAGGCTAGCCTCCCTACCAGGCCTCACAGGGAACTTTGACGTGGCCATTACTTTCTAAGGCTGGCCTTAATTACGGGTTGATCTAGCAAGGTGACTGGGTGCTAGAGAACTGGGTCGCTCTAACCAACCTCCTAGATATGGTGTGCAAATTCCACAATGCTAGTTTTAAAATTTTCAATGAGGGCTATCAGGCATACTGGCTTCTCATTTTTAGGGCTCAGTGTATGTTCTCCAAATAGGCAAATCTACAGTCTACTAAATTATAATCAGAAGATTGCTTGATGAGCATTGAATCAGCAATCAGTGACCAAAATCAGCAAGTTCTGGTAGTATAATGCATTCATCTTTCCCAAGGAATAGATTTGCCACCCAGACCAGATGTTCTTCAATTCTCAGAGCATCCTTTTTACTAGACCAGGCTGCAGACAGATGGCCAGCTTTTGATTTCTTGATTTTTTTCTTACATAGTTACTATAGATGATCTCCTTTAGCACATTTTTTCCCATTAGAGTTTAATAAAATGGCATTCATATCTGTAAAATAGCTCGGTGCCTGGCATACAGTAATTAAATGATAACTAATATTGATAAGTATAAATAGTGTTGAGTTCAGGTCACCTTGATACTTGTATCGTCAAAGACAGTCTTTTGGGCCATTTCTTTAGATGAGCGATCTATTTCATCTTTTACATTTTGAGTTATTTTCATTCTTTATTCTCTAATTCTTTTAACTCCTTAATTTCATTTATCCTTAATATTGAATCCATGAGCTAATTAAGGACAATCATTTTTGGCTCCGAATGATTTTGTTACCATTTTGTTTTTGAGACTTTGATTCTTTTCAAATTTCAGTTTTTTGCTCCAAAATACCTCATTCCCTACAGTTTCCCATCTGCAGTGTGAATCTGTTGAAAGAGATCATCTTCAAGTTACTGCTCAGCTCTAGAATAGATAGAATTTTAGATCTTTTTTGAACAGATCATGTCAGGTATAGCCCTTGCCATCTAATCACGCTTACTTTCATTTCAAGCTCTGCCCGAGTCTTTCTCATAGCATGTAAAGTTATTTTGAAAATAGTAGCAGCATCAGGATTGTTAGAATTACAGGGAGGCAATAATTGAAAACCCCAGAGGCAGAGGTGTGATGATGGTAAATGATCACCACCAGTCAACAATGAAATTGCAGGTATGACAAGTACACAGTTGGCAGAACTTTTTGAATGTAAAGGAGTATAGAAAGGAAAAACAGTTGATTGCTCCAGCAACAATGAGCACTGTCAGCCTTCTGCTCTTCATCCATCCAGGGATCAGTTATTCTTTTAAGAGTGGCAAAATAGATTTAGGAAAACAGTGGGGACATTGCCACAGCTTTCTCGTATTTGTAAAAATACAGATTATGGTGAATTTTTGAAGCTGGTGGTCTCAGAACCACTGTTGTGGGAGTTCAGAAAATGGAGAGATCATTTCAGACAGATATTCAGGGAAAGCTTGTCAGGAGTGGCTTTGGTCTGGGTCTTGAGGGATGGGCAGTGCTTGAATAGATGAAAGGAGGGAGAAAACATTTTTTGATGGGTGAAATACCAAGAATAAAAGCATAGAGGTGAGAAATAGTAGTGTATGTTAGGGGAGTGGAGAGCCAAGTAGTTTGGTACAAAATTTCTTAAAATATGGTCCACGAGAGAGAATTGAGGCAGTGCTTCCTGTCAAATACCACTTACTTCAGGATTAGAAAAACGTGGTCGTTCAGGACGGAACTGGATGGAACTATTGATGCCTCTCAGTGCATCAAGCTTCCTGTTTTCATGTGCTCCCTGATGTCCTCAAAGAATTCCATTTTAAAACACTTTTTGGAAATTGGAAAGGCTGTCAACATTTTCAAAATAATTCTCTCTGTATCTCTCTAATATTCAAGTGGAAGAAAAAAAAAGTGATATCACTCTGAGGGCGGATGTGCGCCTGTCATGTCAGGTACACTTCGTGGCTTCCCTGCTTTGATGAGGGAAGGATAGCCACACGTTACTGTGTCTCATTATTCTCCATATCAGCTGCTGTCACCACCACCTTTCCAAGAGATATTACTAAGAAAGAGGAACAGAATATGTTGTTTTTCTCTACTAGACAGAAGTCTGCTGCCTTTCAAGAGGCCTTAATTGAATGTGAAAGCAGAGGAAATAGTGTCACTTGACTCTAGCTTGAAAGTCTTGGAGGAATTTAGTGTCCCAGTACAGAGACTACCTCAATCTGACAAAACATTCTGTGGAATTCTGCTTTGGTTCTGCATACCTTTGTGAGTCAAAGATTTCATTACTTGTTATCATGGAGAAAAAGTTGCAGCTGATCATTGAAGAAGATGTATGTGTTGCTATGTCAAAGACCGTATTGTAATTTCATCTCAACAAGCCAAAACTCACTCAGATTTACTACTGGGCAGTTAGAATTTTTTAAAGTAATTTTCTTCAGGAAGCTACCATTTTTCTTTTATGAAAAGTAACAATGTGAGGGAGGCATAGTCATTTATAAATATTGGTTTTTATATATTGCTTATGTTCAGGAAATCAGTTTCCAGTGCCATGAAATAAAGTATAGGGTGTATGCATTTGGGTGCATGTTTCTGGAAAAGAAGTCTGTATCTTTAATTGGAATCTCAGACTGGTCTTTGACTCCCCTGAAAGGTTAGGAACTAATAATTTAGCTAGTGTGGAGTCAATAGGATGCTATGGATGAGCAAAGGAATGACAGGAAATTAGAAAGCTCATGTGAAGAATGTGAGAAAAAAGCTTCAGCAGGACTGAGGGGTGATTTAGGAATTCAGATTAGCTCCAGGCTCTGAGTTATCCTAATAATCTGAAGGTAATTTTCTAGATAGAGCTTCTCAAAGGTAGGAACCCCCTGTTACCTTCTTCGGTCTTAGTGTGTAAGCACAGTGCCTGAGAAAATAGGTACTCAAAAATGTCAAATTGAATCACTCTACAGTTAATGAAAGTTGGACTATAACACCCAAAATAAATGTTCTTCTGTTTTATCTGTATTTAATCCTGTTTATAACTCTCTTGGTGGAAAATAAGGTTTTTGAAGAGAGAATGCTTTATATTATATAGCTCAAACAACCTTTTTGTTCAGGAATGGTTAGTTAATGCAAACATTTGGCCTCTTTGGATTTGTTCTGTGTAAGTTTTATTTCTGATAAACATTTACTAGAGGTGTGCCTCTAGACATGATGATTTTGTCCAGTCCCTTCAGAAAGAAGGAAACTTGTAGGATGGTGAGGATGATTAGGTCATCATATATTTAAGCAATATTCTAATGAACATCTAAATTTGGATTTGTTCATCATTAAGTAAAATCAGCCTGACAACTCTGAGGTCATTTTGGTTTAAAATATCTTTGGAACTTATAATGTGTTTTCTATCAATTTAACAACAATGCCCTGGAATCCCACCCCTACATTATATCAGTATAATTTTCTGTGATCTTTAAGCATTTTCCTGGGACAAGGTTTGGCAAAACAGACTTCTTAAGTATTAATAACTGCTAAAAATTTAAATGTGTTCTCTTGGAAGACAAAGATGTTTAGATTCCAGTTCATTGTAACATTTTAGTTTTGCTCCCCCTAAGTTCTTTTAAGTTAAAGAGAAAATTATTGAATACATTGTTAAAACACTGGTATTATAAAAAAACATTTGTTCCAAAAATATAGTTGTTTTTTTCTGTGGCAATTATAAATCAAATTAGTTTTGTTAAAAGCCCAGGAATCCTCCCCCCCAACTTTTGTCTGAAGCAGAAATGATTACTAGAGTAAAATAAGGTCTAATGCCCACCAGTTTGTTAAATAAGATGATTATTTTCATAAATTTGAATTGAGAGAAAGTTAGAATGGGTACATAAGAATGGAGTAAAATTTTATTGAATTAACTTGTTTTTTTTTTTTTGTTATAAAAATAAAAAGTGCTTCTTGTATACAATTTGGGAAATATCTCAAGATTACCTGAGGCCTCATCACCTGGAGATGACCATGTCACGTTTTGGAGTGTTTTACACATCTGTGGTGTGGTGTGTGTGTATGTACACACATACGTATACACCTCTACACACACAGTACAAATGGGGATGAAAACGGATTTTTTTTCATTCCATGTAGTATACATACTTTCCCATATGATTAGGTATTATTTCCCAGCATTATTTTAATAGGCTAATATCCACTATAAGAAAAAGACAGTAATCAAAGCGACATCTTACTGTTGGATATAGGATATTTCCAGTTTTTCTTGAATTTTTAAAATTTTCGTTGCTTTTTGTTTTTGCTGTTTTCTTCGGTTACAGATACTGCACTGAATACCCTGTATGGAAATTTTGTATGTATTCATAATTATTCCTTACGGGAAAATTCTAAAACTAGAATTGCGGGTCAAAGTATAAAAAAAAGAAGGGTTCTGATACATTTCCTTACATTGCTAAAACCTGGATGAGACTTCAGCTGGGTGCTGGCGTCCCCTGATCAACACAGGTTTCTCTCCTGTGACGGTGGGACAACCTGTTGGGCGGAAGCGGCATCGCGCGGAGTTTGGGTTCGCGGCTCCCAGATTAGCTGGGAGGAGCCGGCGCGTGAGTCCCGTTTCTAACCGGCGTGTCTTTGTCTTTCTCCATGGGGACCGCTGCCGCCCGTGCGGGCCGAAGCCTCGGGAAGCCGTCGCCCCGCAGCGCCGCCGCCCTGCGCCCGGCCGCCCCGGGGAGCCGCTGCCCGCCGGCGGGCGCCGTCACCACGCGCCAGGCCGCCGCCAGCTGCCGCGCCAAGCTCCGCGGCGGTGCCGCCCGGGAGCGCCAGCACGCCGCCCGCGGCCTCGGGAAGCCCGCGCCTCCCTGAGCGCCGCCGCGGGCGCCGCCGCCCGGCCACCGGCGGGACTACGCCAGCGCTGCGCACAGCCCGAGTACCTCAGGCGCCCCGCCGTGGCCCGCCTTCCTCCCCGCCCGCCCTCCAGCGCCTCCGGTTCCGGGAAGTCCCCTCCGACAGCCGCGAACTCCCCGGGGGCTCAGCTGTCCGCACACCTTCCTACTACCCCCACCCCCCCGGCCCGCGCTGTCATCGAGCCTCGTTCACCGCAGGACTCTTGCCCGCGCAGCCCCTCGGGAGGACCGCGTGCCTTAGGGCCGGCGGGTCGGGAGGATGGCCTCCTTCCTAGTCGATGCTGCTCTCGGAGCGTTACTTCCTCATCCTGCCTGCCAAAACCCCGGCTTTTTTGAGAATCTTACCACTGGGCGGTAGCATCCTCTTTCCCTCCATGTAATTTATCAACTTCTTAGGCAGTTTCTTTCCCAAGTTCTCCAAACACTAGCTACCGCCTTAGTCTTCTTCACCTCAAATCCTCCTCATCAGCAAGCTGGTTACCTCCCCAACCACCCCCCTCCCCGTCTGCCAGAAGATTGTTTTAATTAATGTACAAATCCCCTAGTGACTACGGGGTCATCAACACAATCTGGAGTGTGTAATGCATAACTGTGGTTGAACTTGAGCTCCAACATCCAGTCTCCTCCTTGTAACTTCATCTCCAATGACCATTTTCTTTCCTTCGGATCAGTCCTTGCCCTCATAGTTCTAGACCGCCACCCCAGGGGATCTGCTCAGTTTTGCACTGATGCCATGTTTCTCCTGGGGTGCTCCCAGCCCCTAACTGAGGACAGTGTGGGTGTTAGTGATGGCCTGTTCACGTGACATGCGGGCTCCTCTAACAAGCAACTGTCCTGGGGACTCCTCCGCAGCCTGGCTGAAATTTTCTTCGAACTGTGCTGCATGCAGCCTAAGGCTCTTCTCGCTCAAGGGCCCTGTCCTTTCATAGTGTCACACTTGCATTGTGGTGTGAAGACCTCCCCTCCTTGCCCCTGTTTTCTTACCTTTTTCCTTCACGGATGTTCCTTCCAGTAAAACTTGCAAGTCGAACCCTGCCTTGGTGTCTGCTTCTAGATGGACCCGAGCTAACACCTTAGCAGACATTCCACTCCAGTCACCGTCTTCCTATCCTTCTGGATCCCTTGTTTACTGACTTCTAGTTCATTAACCTCGTTTTCCCCACTATCAGCCCCTGTTTTAGATTCACTTCCTTCCTTGTCTAGCCTAGATGTCACAGTCCGTCATTCTAATCATCCTCCGTGAAACACAGTGCTCTCAGCAGTCTTGAACGTCAATTTCTTCCACTTGTCTGGTAAATTCCCAACTCTGGATCAACTTTAGCATTTGCCTTCCATGGGCTTGATTGGGACAACTGAACATTTTGCTCAAGAAAATCACACAGTACAGTCAATTAGTTTCACTTCCAACTTAATATTTCCAACCTCAAATTGGTGCTATTGTTCCTAGGGAGTCTCAGTTTCCCACTAAAAACTGATAAATCTTTTCATCTCTCCTCATATTTTTCCGATCCCTTCCTGGCTGTTTACTTTAAATTTCCCTTAGAAAATAGAATATATTACATAAAAACTCCTTCAACTTCCCGCTGTCAGAGCCCCGTGCCCCACCCCCAACCCAGCTACCTTGGTAAGCATCTCCTTCCTTTGGGTGACTAGGAGGAAGTTTCGAAGGCTAGCTCCTCCTTTTGTGCTCTGAACACTGTCTCCTGTCGCCTTCCTGAGGACATTTCTCCTTAGATTTCCCTTTTTCTCTCTTCTGCATCATCAAGCTCTGTCTTGAATGGACCATTCTCATCAGCCTGCAGACATGTTCCAGTGCCCCCCACCCCCGCATCTAAACCACATCTTTCCCATCTGTTAGCCATTTCTCAGCTCTCCTTTGTAACTAACTAAACTTCTCTAGGGAGTTATATATTGTCTTTATTTTCTAATCTTCCAATTACTTTTTAGTCCATAATGTGACCACCACCAGCACAGAAAGTGTCCTTGTTAAGGTCACCAGTCACTTTCATATTACCCTGTCCAAGAGGACACTTTTCTGTCTTCACCTTGACCACTGTCTGCTTCTTTAAATGTTCTCTCCTATCCAAGACACTGTTCTCTCCTGGTCTTTCTCCTCCTTCACTGATCAGTGTTACACTCCTTCTGCCTACCTTTGAGAAGTTGAGGTTTCTCACATCCACTTAGGTCCCCCCCCCTCACCTTTTTTCTGTGTTCTTCCCCAGAACAGTCTTATCAATTTCCATGGATTTAAGTACCATCTGTATGCTACAGGGCTTCATTCCCCCCCTCCCCCGACCTTTACCTTTAAGTTCTAGACTCACATATATAATTGTTTGCTTAATATCTTCATTAGGAGGAGTTGGATCTTTCAAACTTAACATGTCCCAAATCTAATTTCTCATTCTTATCCAATACCTGTTTCCCCCTTCTCTATTAGAGTATATAGCACCCCATCCTACCACTTGTTCAAGCTAGAAACCTAAGAGTCATTCTTGATTCTTTTGATGACCTCCTTTTTTACATCAAATAGACCAGCATAATCTATTAGTTTTATCTCCAAAATATACCTTTAATCTGCTTCATTCCATTGTGAATGCTATCACTTAATCCCGATGAATGCTTTTTCTCACTTGATTACTGTGACAGCCAGTCCTACCTACTCTCTCTGCTTCTACTCTTGACCCCATGACCCACTTCAGTACATTCTTGATACAGTGGCAACAATGACTACAAATGGAATTGGATAAATTGTTGCTCGTAAGATAAACATCTAACCCCCCTACATGGCTTACACAGTCCTGTACGCTCTCTCCATCCCCATTCATGCTCACCTCTTTATTGCTCACTATGATGCAGCCACACTGGTTCCTCTAACATACCGAGATCTTTTCTGTACCTCAGGGGCTTAGTAAATGTTATTTCTGCTTAAACTGCTCTTCTTGGCTATCCTTTCTATAATGCTTCAATAGATCTTGAGAAAGGCCTGCCCAGAGCATTGACTGAAAGTAGTCCTCACCACTCTTCTCCCATTTGCTATCTCAGTTCTTTGTTTTCTTCATTACTCAATCCTTTATCTCAATTTGTAACTTTATTTATTTGTTTATTTACTTTTCATGTGTGTGTCTGTTTCTCATACTGGAATGAATGAGGGAAGAGACTGTGTCTGGATGTCTAGATTCTTTAACATTGTATTTCTAGCCCCTAGCACAATATTTGGCACATATTAGATGCACAATAAATACCTGTTGAAGGAATGAATAAACACATTTGCTAATTTTCTGTTGGGAGTTCACTTTTTATTGATATATAAGAGCTCTTTATATATTAAAACCATCAGCCATTTGTTCTGTATGCTGCAGACATTTTGCCCCTTGTCATACGTACAAATTTAATTCATGATGTATTTGATAGGTAGAAATACTACATTTTCCATTTAGATAAATCTCGTTGGTAATTTCTGCTTTTGGTGATATGTTTTAAAAAAGTCTTCTCCATCTCAATATTATATAAATATTTGTGTTTTCTTTTCTTTTGACTTTTTAAAGATTTAAATCTTTACTCCAAATGGAATTTATTTTTGATATAGATGTGATTAAGGCTCTAAATATTTATTTAGTTGTTGCATCATCATTTATTGAAAACTCCCTCTTCTACTGTTTTAAACCACTTTTACCAAATATTAAATTTTTACATATACTTGGAGTGCTTTCTGGATTTATTATTTTTTGATTGGTTGGCATCCTTCTCTATTCCTGAACCATGTTGAACCATTACTGTCATTTTATAATTTGCCTTATTATGTGATTAACTTTTTAATGGGTCAAACCTTACTCTGGGGCAAATGTTATTCTTCTTTTTCAAAATATTTTCAGCTATATTTGTGCATTTATTCTTTCAGATAAACTTTAGCTATATTTCAGTCAAATTCCAAAAGAAATTCTATTGGCATTTTGTTTAGAATTGCTTCAATGTTATAAGTTAATTGGAGGAGAGTTGCCATCTTTGTAATACTAATTTTCCCATTCAGGAACTTGTCACATGTCAAGGTTGTTGAAGGCTTCCTGTATATTCCTCAGTAATTTTGTGGGTCCTGCATATTTCTTGTTAATTATATTATTAGATATTGACGTATCTTTGTTGGGATCATTTTCTCATGATGTTTTATAACTGGTTGCTCCTCATAGGCTCAAGCTATTGATTTTTGGTAACTTTTCTGAACTCCTCCATTAATCCTTCTAGTTGATTCTCTTCTAAGTAGGCAATCATTTGAAGTATAACTAATGGTAGTTTTCTCTCTTCCTTTACAATATTTATACCTCATATATTAAATAAGTGATGGTATTAATTTTGCTCTTATTCCTGACTTTTGAGGACTGTCATTAATATTTCACCAGCTTTTAATGTTAGCTGTTGGACCAAAATAGAGGTCTCCGTCTGGTTAAGGAAGTAGTTTCCTGGTTCGCATATACTAAGCATTTTATTGGAAGTTGTTGATTACATTAAACATATCTGGGAAACTAGATATGATTATATGGTTTTACTTCCTTGACCTATTATTATAATAAATCATATTAACAGATTTCTCAATGTTGGATTATTTCTGCATAAGACATTCTATTTTGTTATGGTGAGTCCATAATATAATGTTGAATTCAGCTTCTTACATTTTATGTAGGATAATTGCATTTATATTTGTGAATAAGATTGGATGGTAGTTTTACATTTTTTAAGTCTATTTTTATCAGCATCAAAAAATCATGTCTACACACTATATTAGTATAGAGTATAGGAATAGCTTAATCGTTGAGGATTTGGAAGAACTAATTGTTTAGGTTCCAAGTTTTTTTTCAGGGTAGGTGAATGGGGGATTAATTTCAGGAAACATTAAAGTTTTCTTCCATGACTTTGGCCTAGAAGGTTAACTACTATTTGTGGATATCAATTTTAAAGATAATATTT